GTGGATGATCAAACATCCGCAGAGCGCCGGGTCTTGGAGACTTATGCTTAGTAGCTACAACTCCCGAAAAGCATTAATTCGCAAATATGCCTGGCCGCCAGCAGCCAAGGCTTCCCAGTTGCATGCGCTCCGTCAACTGTATATAGACAAGGGGTATCCGTCCGCTCTTTTGCTTTAACCAGATGCTTGCAACATGCCGACCAAACCAGTGCTTCGCGTGAATTAGGCGAGGTCTGTGTCGAGAACAATTCTGTGCCGGCATCGTTGAAAGGCAACCATATATTTCTGATGAACTTGGTTTCACACCTGCGCATTCCGTTCCGTGCCAACATAATCTGGAGACCTCTTGCCTCTCTGATCTTTTGCTCTCTGGAGTCTTTTGGCCCGAGACCTGGTGTTCCTAGGCCGTGTATCTAAGCACACGGAATCCCGCCATGACAACCTATGTGTTTCAGTTCTTTGCAGATAGCAGAGCTACAGCGAATTCCTCGCCAGCTCAGCAGTGGTCACTAATTCGTCCTGCATGCCACGAGCCAAGCCTTCTTACCGTGCACGCGCCCGATCCGAATAGGCCTTCCCACCGTGTCTTGGAAGCGCCGCCAGGATTTTTTGACCCCCCCGAGCAGCAGTCTCAACCTGATGCTCGTCAGGACAGACCGCAGACTCGTCAACGGGACAAATCACGATCCCGTCGACGTTCCCGTTCCCGGAATCAAGTGCGCAAGCACAGAGATCGAACCTCTCGCGAGCGCAGGGGTAGGGGTCGGCGTGACGATCGCCACGCCAAGCGCCACAGAAAGCGTTCCAGGCAAGGCAGGTGTCGGAGTCGAAGCCTCCCTCGCCAACCAACGCTGCCGCCAAACACCCCGGAACCCCCTGGGCACCCTGGGCACCCTAGGCACCCTGGGCACCCTGCGACCCCTCATCAAGCTGCAGCGCGAAATGATTTACTTGCATTTCCCGGGCGGTTTGATGTCCCACAGCGACCACATCCCGCGCCGATCCAATCTCACACGCCATGGCTTACTAGCAGGGGTCAGCCGCCTCAGTCGATTTTTTTCAAAAACCGACCGGCTCAGCCTCCGGCATCTGGTTCCAAGACTAGTGCCCTAGGCTACGGACCTCTTTACCACCATGCTCCACATAGAGCAACCCCGCTAGTCACTGCAAATGATAAGAGACCGCGCACACCCGAAAGAAAGACGGCGGCTCAAACCCGGCAGCCCGTTTCCTGCGCGCAGCCTGCCAAGCGGGTCACGCGACATGAAGCCTGGTCTTCTGACGAATTCCGCCCTGGTACACCGGTCCTTGAGAAGGACACTACTCCGAAACATCCCGAGGCAGCAGGGTCAAAACCTGATGCAAACCTCGTTGTTCGAACCTCAGTTGAAAATCGGGAGTCGGAATTCACCGCGAGTGGTCTCATTGTGCCTGGCCAGACGTTCGTTGATCAGACAGTCCAAGACTGGCTTCAACGCATTCTTCGACGACAGGCAGATAACATGCTCTCCCCGCACTGGCTGTTCCCGTTGACGATTCAAGACGTCGTGGAACACCAGCGCCGAAAGGCCTGGGTTCAAGCTAATGTGACACCTTTCAGCCGTGTCCCGCCGTAAGTGTGGAACAATGCGTTCGGCACCTTTTAGTTTTGGCGCCCGTAGCACCAGAGGACCCGGTCAATGGTGTTCCGATCTCAACCGTGCATGTTTTGGCCAGCGCGATCATTGCTTCGGAAATGCCGTACACCCAGATTTTTAACCAGCGTGCGGTAGCAGCTACAGCCACTACCGGCACCGCTGTTTGGCTGTACCCGTCCCAAGCTTTTCCCGGAGTCAATCAAGACCGTGTAGCTGGCGAGTATTCCATGCGGTTTGTTCATTTTTCTTCTCAGCTAGGCCTAGCCGGGATATTTCGCACCGGCATCATCATGCCAACTTCGGCTGAAACCTTAGCGCTTGACTCTGAAAATGAGTCCCAGGTCGGCAGGAAATGCCCATTAGGTTTTTTCTGTAGAGTCTCGACCGAGTGCTACCATGAGCGGAGTATCCTTGACTTTTTGCTTGCGTGCTCGGAGCACCCCAAAAACACCACCAATGTGGGAGTAACGGGGACTGTGTCCGGCACTCATTACAAGTTCAACCGAGGGGATACCTGGAAGGAACAAGCTCTTGCCTATTCTTACCCCGCAGTGCGTAGTGGCAGCAAAGACAAACGATGGTGTGTGCGCAGCGATTTGGCTGCCATCGACGGAGTGTTCCTAGTGCAAGATCACTCAGACAACTGGGGCACCAAGTGGTTGCCCCAGCCACTGCGCCCATCAGTTGCCATACAATCCTGACTAATCCTTGGTCGCTGATATCCAGCGGCGAATAATTCAGATTCGTGATTCGGGGTGTTGCATGGCATGGCCTTGTCGCATCAGCTATTGCACCTGACCTTTTAATCCGTTCCGGCATGTTCGCATGATAAGCATCTTGACAGCGTTGCAAAAAATGCCCTGTACGTCGGTGTGATGTTCTGATCGTAGTCAATTTTGTGACCACGTGCCATCGTGCCATGTTCGCTGTACAGCATGGGCACTACCACGTTTGCTTTTTTGTTCTGCTTTCGGCTCGAATCCAAGCTTTTGGTTTCCTGTGCCTTTAATCTCAGAAGTCGCAAATTCCAGACCGTTTGAGCCTTCAGGCCACCCAGGTTGGCGAGACGTCACGCAATCTCGGAGTGTGGTTGGGTTTCGTGGGGGTGGTTCTGGGTTTAGCCTGGCCTGCCTCCCCTCCGGCTGCACGTGGTCATACGCCGCGATGGCCAGGGGGGCAGGGCACAGGAAGGAATCCCTGGGTGGATTCCCCGCCTGTGTTTCTTGGTTTTCTTGGTTTTCTTGGGGCGTTCCTTTGTTTGGCCTGGCCTGCCTCCCTCCAGCCGCACGTGGTTACACGCCGCATTGGCCAGGGGGGTAGGGCACAGGAAGGAATCCCTGCGTGTCGCTGGGCTTCTTTGTTTTCTTTCTTTGGTTTTCTTGGGGTTTTCCTTTGTTTTTGCCTGGCCTGCCTCCCTCCAGCCGCACGTGGTTGTTCGCCGCAATGGCTTGGGGGGCAGGGCACAGGAAGGAATCCCTGGGTGTGGTTGGGTCCCTCTCGGGCTTCTTGGTTTTCTTGGGGCGTGGTCTGGCCTTGGACGCCGCAATGGCCAGGGGACTAGGTGAGGAAGGAATTCCTGGGCGTGATTGGATTCCCTGCCGGAGTTTCCGTGGAGCGCAAAGACCTTTGCAGTGTTGAACGCTTCCGTGCCGAGCACTCGGATTTTTCAGCGGTTTCGGATGTACTTTGCCTCGGCGAACCATGATCTGAGTTGCATATGCCCCATATATTTGAGGACCGACAACACGGTCCCTCTCTCTCTTTTTGGTTTTTTCCGGCTACCTTTTGAAGGAACCCTCCCACCGAACAATTGGCGGCTTTGGTGTTCACCGCAGTTTCATCCAACAAAGAGGGATGCTATACCTCTCGCCCCTGATCCCCACGCCGGTTCCCTGAGCTCGCGAGCTCTTGCCCGAAGAGCCAGATGCCTGTGTTGGTACCTAGTCATCAAAGGCTTTTCTGTTATTGCGCTTTAACGTGCAGAGTCGCCCGTTGGGCTGGCTGTGTGTGTCCAACCCTGTCACTAAGGGCCTCTCGTGTTTTTTGCCGCAGCGGTCTGGAATGGCTGCACCAGGCTGCTTAATGCGCCAGGCGCATTTACCATTTGAACTAGCGCTTTTCACGCGCCAGACCAATGCCCAATCTGGGGCAAACGGGTAGATTAGCTAGCCTGCGCAATTTTTCCAATCAGACAAAGCATGACACGCAGGGGGCCAGAGCCCGGCTCAGGGGACTCTGGCCAACGAAGACGCCCCTGAGCCGGGGTGAAAACGTACCTGCTTGTCACGGACAGGCATGGGCGCAGTTGACGCAGCTTGCTGTCCCATTTGAACTTTTTGGCGCTGTTTGCGTTTAGAGCCCCTTTGCTACAAACCTTGCTCCGATTAATTCAGTTTCATTACTCCGATGTCTCACCATTTTCCCGTTTAGCCATTGGGGCTTATGATCCTGTACCCTCGACTGTAACTAGATCAACAAGCCACGAGCACACGCATAGGAGAGCCGAAGCATAAATCAAAGAGGGGGGATTACCACAAGTGTGTGGGTGCGTGCGTGCGTGCGTGCGTGCGTGCGTGCGTGCGTGCGTGCGTGCGTGCGTGCGTGCGTGCGTGCGTGCGTGCGTGCGTGCGTGCGTGCGTGCGTGTGTGTGTGTGTGTGTGTCTTTTTGTTTGTTTGTTTGTTTGTTTGTTTGTTTGTTTGTTTGTTTGTTGGTTTGCTTGCGCCTGCCTGCCTGCCTTCCTGCCTGCCTGCCTGCCTGCCTGCCTGTTTGTGTCCATCCGTCCGTCCGTCCGTTTGCCTGCGCTTGTCTCCTTCCTTCCTTCCTTCCTTCCTTCCTTCCTTCCTTCCTTCCTGCCTTCCTGCCTCCCTTTCTCCCTTCAATAGTTAACCTCCCAAGTACCAAATTATTTTTATCAGCAATCACAACACCTTCAAGGCCTCTTCCATGGTTCTTCTGCTCCAAACACCCCACGAGCCGCCTTACCTACCCCAAAGGCGCCACAATCGTCACAAACCCCCCTGGCAACAGCGAGATCAAGCACCTACCAACTCGTGCCTGGCGCGAATTTCCTGCTGGTGCGATAGGTACGGAATGAGAAATGGAATGAACCCACAATTCCAGTAAAACGGAAACCAGTTGGATGGTTCAACTTGGGCCCCCTTCCATGTCTCTCACCGCTTGCCAGTCTCCAAGGAAACCACCAGTTGGATGCTTCAACTCGGGCTCATTCCATTTCTTATTCCCTATCGCACCGCTCGCCAGTGCCTGGTGAATGACCCCCGGCTTTAGTCTGAAAGGAACACACCAGCCAGGGATGGTTCAAAATACCATTTGCCTATCGCAACAGCAAGATTTCGTCCCAGGAACTCCCTGCTGGCGAGTCCCTGGCGCAGCGCCTGCGCCCTGCTGGGCGCCATGGCGCGGAGCTTTCTGCGGCGCAGCGGGGTGACCCGCAGCGCCGCGCTGGCGGCGCTGGCGGCGGAAGCACCGTGGCGCCAGGCGACGTTGGGGCTCGAAGGATGTGGCTGTGGTCGTCAAAACCGTTTTGGGATACCGTTTTGGTTGGTAGGTGCACTCGCCACCCATTTTGTTAGTCTATTTTAGTGGGGAAAAAGGGATGTTCACTGGGGGTACGATTTGGCCTTTGACCCATGGCCATGTGAAAAATGAGCCTCCCGGCAGGTGACCTCATCTGTCTGAGATAGTTTTTTTCCCCGTCCGATTTAGATCTCTCATGTTCTGGTTTGCAGGAACCAGCTGGAGCTGGGCCCTTAGGGGAGCAAGCAGATTCTTCAAACTGTTGGGGCGGCTGCAGGATTGAGAAGTTGGTGTTTCGATGTGAAAACGAGCCTCCCACCAATGAACAGCCGGAGCCTGAGGCTTCTTTTTTCTTCTTTCTTTCTGCGGGGGTTCGGGGGGTTGGACCATTCTCCTTTTCAAAGGGTCCATTTCCGGATCACGCTCGGGCTATGAATTGGTGGGGCAAGAAGAAGCAGCTGGCTGTTTAGGGGAAAACCAGGAGATTCCTTGAACTGTTTGGGGTGGCTCCTGCAGGATTGAGAAGGGAAGTACTCGCATCAAGCCTCTTGAGGCCGGGCATGGCCATCGGTCCACGCTTGTCACAAGGGTGGAAAGCTGCCATCCCTTGTGGTTTGTTTTGAGGTATCTTCCATGCTGGGGGCTCTTCAACAGAATATCTTAGATGTCTTAAAATGTTCCAAATATTTTCCCCTGTTTAAACATGACCTCCAATAGTTCCCCTATGTCAGGGGTCCAAACACATTAGATGCTTCAAATTGCCAATGGCTTTCCCGTGTTCACCACTCTCCAAGAAGGGCGCGTTCTAAAACGGCCAGGAGACAAGCTCCACCTCTCGGATCTCCAAACTCGACCCCTTCAAAAATGAAAATGGTCCAAACACCAGGATCCCCTGTCAAGCTCAGGTTCCGGCTGTTACTTGGTCGTTCTACCAGGGCACCCGCCAGGCCCTCCGCCTCGGGGCCGGCGAGGGCGACGTGCTGACGGCGGGGTTTCTGCTCACCGCCCTGGAGCGGGGCGGAAGCGCGGCGGCGGCACCGCGGCTCCTGGGGCAAATGGAGCGGCGGAAGGTGCGGGAGCTGAAAAGCGGCGGGGAAAGGGGGGGGAGAGGTGGGATGGTGGGATGGGAGGGTCGGAGGGGTCCTTGTCTCTTCTTTTTTTTCGCCAGCTCTCCGGCTCAACTTCGGTTTTCGGTGGCTTTTAGGTGGTGTAGGGGTAGTTTCCCGTGCGGGATCTCCAGTGGTTCTCTGGTTCGCTCTGCGCGAGGCAACCTGCCACGGCCCGTATGGAACTCGTCCAGGGGGGTACATGACTCCACGACCTTCGATTCAGGAAGATTCCAGGGGGAACCCAAAAAATCGATATCATTTCCTTGCTCAAAAGAACCGCGGGAGCACCCCTGATGAGTGCGGTCCGGTTTAATCCAAGGTTCACATTCTTTTGTGGTGTGAAAGGGAAACCAGAAGAAAAACCGAGCCCATTATGGAGGTCTGATTCCTAAAAAACCATGCGATTTTGATGAAACCTGTGAGTTGCGGTCAAACATTACGGTTGAAACAGGGCACCCACTACATTTCTCACAGAAAACAGTCCTCCACCCGTGCTGTAATTGCTATGTATTTTCTATTTGAGTTGGTTTGAGCACAACCTGCCACTTAAACATAATGAATCTGCACTTGGTTACCCTTCCTTGGAGACCATTTAGACCCCTTTGGACAGATTTCTTGTTTTCGCATCGCCGTGAGGCACTAAGCCGTGAAGCCGTATAAGTCTCAACCGGCTTATGAGTCAAGACTTTGCATAGGACTCCTCAAATCGGTGATTTTCTTAGTTTCACCCGGTAAACAGGCGACGACGATTTTCTTCGCAACAAGCAGACTATCTTTGGTCGTGATTGATAGGATCCTAGCTTCTAATTAAAATCTCTCTTTCCCCAAAAAATCGGGAAACCGGACTGCTGGGTTTCGATCAGGTTCTTGACTTGCCCTGGCAAATCGCTTCTCCAACCCAGCAACCAGACTCTCTTGCGAGTGCAGGGCTTTGGGGCTTTGGGGTCGGGTTGGATTTGAATGTGTTGGGCTCTGCGCTTGTTCGGCTCTAAGGTAGGCTCAGAAGTAGAACCCTGGACCATGTTGGGCATGTCTCATGATTAAGGATCATCCGTAGACAGGGTCAGAGGTCGCCTGTGGCAAAACACCGCCCGGCTTTGAACGGCATTCACCGTCTGAATTGGAAGCTGGAGAAGTGTTCCAACACAAATGTTGCTTAAACCATTCGACATTGGTCCCCTTCAAAATGGCAAGGACACAGTTGTTTGAATTATATGAGATTGGCTTCGTGTAAGACTTCGGCTTTCTCAACCCCTGCAACAGCCCAAGAACCCAATATGGAAAACAAAAGCCACAACAACGTCTGGTGAGCGTGCCGGCCCCGTTGGCCAAGCGCGCAACGGATGCACCTGGTGTCATGCTCTTGCTGGAGCCGCGGGCTCAGATGTGGGCCGAAGCTTGTTGGCCGCGGTTGGGCTGTTTTCTTTTGGTTTCCTGAAAATATACGGCTTTTGCCACCATTTGAAACATGTGGCTTTTTGAACACCAACATAAAGGTTGAAACCACCATTCGCAAGTTGCAATGTTCAGGTGTATACTGTAAGGATCCCTGTTCTCTGTACCACCAAGCAGGGGGTTCCCTCCCAATGAACATCTTTCCTGGGACATGGTCCCCATAAAAGGGAAGTTGTGCAAACCAGTAACCCCGGCGAACCGTCAGGTTCCATGTTAATTGGTGGGAGGGTACCCAACAGAAAGGCAGACCCGCCCATTTCCTGGGAGAGAGGTCCCTTGTCTCCCGTCCCGGTATGGTGAGGGGAGCAAGGCTCCTGCGCCTCCCCTCTTGCCCAAGGTGCGCCTCCGAACTCGCGGCTGTTTTTGTTTGTTTGAAGAGCCAAGAAACCGTGGGGATCCCAAATCTTTGAGACAGCCCCAAATAGCAGACAGGAGGGAAAAAATAGGGTTCTCCTGGGGCAGCCATGGGCTTGGCATGTGGTCAGTGCGACTGGAGCCTAGTGCCCTTTGTCTAGCCCTCTGGCGCGCTGAAATGGTCCTCACTGGGGAAACCGCGGAGATACCACCCCAATTCCTCCAACAAAAAGCACTTTTGTATTCTGTTAATTTGGATTCTCTTTGGTTTTGTCTATCCTTCCAAATAGAGGCTCTTTGGCGCAGGCCACGTCCAATCCAGATCCGAGTTTTCCGCTTTTCCATTGCCCACCTCTGCTTTGGCGGCTCGGGCCTGGCGGGTTTTTGTCCTGCGAGTGAACGTGTTCCATGGTGATGCTCCATGATCTGAGGTGGTCTGCCTGAAGCGACACTGAGACTGGCGAACTCCTAGCAAAGACCCACGCACCCAGCACAAACAACATACATTATGTTGTGCTCCGCTTGCGCAGGTGTTTACATCTCTTCTCATCTCCCCCGACTCTCCCTGGCTTTTGTCAAATCCAAAGTGGCTGTTTGAAGTTCAAACATATCTTCGGATTCATCCAGCCTGAAAGCTAGAGCTTTCAAGTTTTTGCCTGAATCAAATATCGGACAATGCGTTGAAAGGGCCGAAAGCAAGGCGTTTTGTCAAGTTTTTTCTTGATATGCTTCCCAGTTGCTAAGTGTCATTTCTTTTTCAATCCCCCACTTCATTTGTCCCCATAGAACCAGGCATCTATATAATTGCCTTCTCCTGTCCTCCTTCTTCAAAGCCCATGTCTTTTCCGAACGAAGCTGGCACCTCACTAAACCAGCAGATTGACCTTTTTTTTCCTCCTCCCTCACCCATCCCACCCCACCCCCGACCCACCCCTCCACCCACTCCACCCCACTCCCCACTCCGCTCCGCTTCGCTCCGCTCCGCTCCGGCCGAGTGAAAAACGGCCCGAGGCGCGACCCGCTGGTGCTCGAGAGGACCGAGGAGCGCAGGGCCACTCTGCCGGGACCTCAAGCGCGGCGTCGCGCGCGGCGTCGCGCGGGGCGGAAGGAGCTCACGGATCTGGGGGGAAGTTGGAAGGAGAAGCCAGGAAGGTTCTTTGCTCGGTCCGATTCTGAAAGGTCAGCTTTTGGAATAGCAACAAAAATGGCAGATTCGGTTCAGTTTCTCGAGGGTTTCATCTGGGGAGGAGAGAGAAACACACCCCAAAAGGAGGTGCCCCAACTGAGGTTTGCCCCCTCCGAAAAATCAATCAAACTCTGGATTTTGCGCAGGATTTCGTGCAACAGGTGTCAACTTTAGGCTAGTTTGGATTCAGAAATAGATGGGACTGCCTTTTTTTTACGTATCAGGATAAACCATTTTCCAGGTCCATCAAGATTTGTCCAAAAGGTCACCTATGGAGGGTACCACTGCCGCAAAGCTCGTTTTTTCGTCCCTAAGAATCGCCTTTTTGTTTGGGGGTTCCCCTGGTGTTGATCAGCAGGAGTCTATTTTCTTTGAGCAGAACCAGGATGAATGGCAATTGTTGACCCAGGATTGACCCTGATTGAGAAGAAAGCCCTGGTTGATGAACAAGTTTTCCTTCCAAAACCAACCAAGCGAGAGCGTTTTTTTGTTTTCCGTGGCCACGGGCTTGGCCGAGCTTTAGTTTTAGGACCAGGGTCCTGTGGCAAAAGAGGTTTTGCAAAAGGCAAGGGAGGGAAGTGGTTGGGGGAAAGGGAAGCCAAAAGGAAGGCCATTGGGCCATCAAGCACACAGACACACCATGCGACTCAAGGCTTCTCGGGGTTGCAGCCCTTGCAATCAACTGCGACCACTTGAAACCCAATACATGAGCTCCAAGAACTGTTGGCCAGTCATCAACAACTCCAAGTGCTTGACTCGTCCAATGAGTTGCCCGTGAACTGGTGTGGATTGTTGACCGCCCGGATGAATAAACCCATTCTACGAGGTACACCAATAGGGGATAAATCCCCTACGCTTTCAATAGTGATAAATCCCCCACTCGACCAGGGACACTCCACAAGTAATGAACTGGGGTTATGAAAATCCGGGGTTCCCTTTGCCCTTTTCGCCTCGGTTTGGAGAAGCACCAAAAATATCACTTCCACCAACTGAACCACCACCACTCGGACAGAAACCGCCGAAGCCCCCCAAGCCCCCCGACGCCGAGGCACGCTCCGCGGCGGGCGACGCTGAAGCTCTGGGTGGCCGTGGTCGCCCGAGCCCTCGGAAGTTCGAGCGCC